CTAACTGCACCGGGGTTGGGCATTTAGCTCAGTGGTGCTGCTGCCTGCCTCACAAGTGCAAGGTCCTGAGTTTGATCCCAGATACTAAAAAAAAAAAACTGTACCAAAACATAATAGACAAGGCATAGCTTAACAGAAACGTGTATTAAAAAATGACTGAGGTAAAGAATGAGAAATTAGATTCATTCATAGGAAAATGGATATGTATTGAGGAAATATTCCCAAGTGAAATAAATAAGTCACACATGTATAAATACAGAACAGTTTCTCTGGTGTGAAAAACTATAATAGTACATAAGATCCTAATGAGATAATTGACCATGTGAAAAGGAAAACAAGGGCTAAAGGTGTAGGGAGAGTGGGAAGGGCAGGGGAAAGGTAATAAGGGAAAAGAAAAAAATATGACAAAATGAAAAAATGGAAATAAAGTGTTTGTAAATGGGGAGGGGAAGAGGGGATGAAGGGAGGGCAGGGACAAGGAGAAAAAATGAGAACCAAGACCTGTCATGCAAAGGTACAAGATTCCAATAATGAATGTAATCATACTGTATACCTAAAATGTACCAATAAACTCAATAAAACAACAACAACAACAAAAAATAACTGAGGCCTCTTGAGGACAGAAAGTTCCAAATGAGTCACTAGTGTGGTGACAAAAAAAAATCAAATCTAATCTTAGCTACATCATTATATAAAGAGAAAGAGTACCACCCTAAATCTAAACAGAAAGATTATTTTGTGCTGATCATATCAAATCTAGAGAATTGTGCTCGGAAATGGATACCACACTTTAAGAAATAACATGAAAAGAACAGATCATGTTCCAAGGAGAGCACACAAAGTGACAAGGGGACTAGAAACTATGTCACATGAGGAATAATTGAATGAACAACAGAGAAACTCCATCTGAAGAAAGGACTTCCTAGGGGCTTGATAAATATCTTCAAACAGTTGAACTGGCATGCAGAAATGGAAGTACATTTATTTATCCTCACTTGGTATAACTTAGACCAATGTTTATTTCTTTCTTGGCCTTGAAGTTGGTACTGATGGTACAAAAAGATTGTTATATCAATTCTCCCTCAGAGAAAATGAACTAGGGCCATCATACAGCCTTTTGTGATCCATTTTGTTTGGGTTTACTGCTGTTCTCAGGTGTTTTTGGTCCTAGAGGCTGAACCCAAGGTCTCATGCATACTAGGCAAGTGTTCTGAGGTATATCCCCAGCTTTTGTGGTGTCTTTTTTTATAAGACTTGGCTGTAAATATTGTGTGTACAGAAAACTCAAACAGCCAATAAATCTATGAAAATACACCCAACTTCACTAGTTATCAGGGAATTAAAACAACACCTACATAAGATGATAACATTAAAGAAAATGAAACTGGCTGAGGAGTATATGAGAACTCTATACACAATCTTTGAAACTTTTCTGTAAATCTAAAGCTATTCCAAGGCTGGGGTTGTAGTTCTGTGGTAGAACATGTGTTTAGCATGCAGGAGGCCCTAGGTTCAATCCACAGCATCAAAAATAAAAGTTATTTCAAAATAATGTTAATTAAAAGCAATACCTTTCACACTCACAAAATTTTAAAAGTATGACTATATCAAATTATCAAAGATATAGAAAAAAGTAAAAGGGAGCATAAATTGTTAAAATTAGAGCCAGATGTGGTGTCACACATTTCTAGCATTGAAAAGGCTGAAGCAGGAAGATCACCCCAAGTTCAAGGCTGGCCTGAGCTACATAGTGAGATCAAGGCTAGCCAGTGTGGCCTACAAAGTGAGACCCTGCCTCAAAAAAATTGTTAAAACTATTTGGACTGCAATTTGGCAGTATCTATAAAGTTAAAGATGCATATAACTTTTGATCCAGCTGTTCCAATCCTATATGTATATCCGAGAACTGCACTGTCCAATAGGACTAGCCACATGCGACCACTGAGCACTTGATGTGGCTAGTCCAAAATGAGATGTGCTTTAAGTATAAAATGCAAAGCAGGGCCATGCTTAGCCATGTGTGAGGCCCTGGATTCTGAAATTAAACTCCAGCACCACAAAAAAAAAAAAAAAAAAAAAAAAAAAAAAAAACAGACAGAAAGACTTTGTATCAAAAAAGAGAAAATAAAATATCTAATTAATAATTTTTCTATTATTATATGTTGAAATATAACCTTTTAGATACACTGAGCTAAGTAGATTGTATTGTTAAAATTAACTTTATCTGGGGCCAGGGATTTAGCTCAGTGGTTCCGCTGCCTATCTCGCAAGTGTAAGGTCCTGAGTTCAATCCCCAGCACAAAAACAAATTAACTTCATCTGTCTAATCTTTTTATTGTGGCTTCTAAAAAAACATAAAATTGTATTGTTTGCACTATACAGGGCTACCTCAGTTCACAAACTCAAGTCTCTCCACAATTCTGCTTGCAAATCAAACTAGACTAGAACTAAATCAAATTTTCCCATAAGATCAGTATTGAACCTAACCACTGAATTTGACTTGGCTGTTTTCCAACTTAGTTTGCCACCAGAATCATGGAAAGAAACAAGTTCACCAATCGCGTATTGCAACTGAAAGTAGCACTATCATACAGCCTCAACCACTAGTAGCTCAAGAAATAAATCAATTTATGTATCAAACCCTCAAGCTTAATGTAATCACTATGTTTCACAAACATGTACTTGTAAAAATGAAAGCCAAGGCACAGTGGTGCATGCCTGTAGTCCCAGAGCTCAGGAGAGTGAGGCAAGAGGATCAGGGCAAGTTTGAGGCCAGCCTTGGCCACACCGTGAGGTCAAGGCCAGCCTGAACTATATAATGAGACTCTGCCTCAAAAAATAAATTTAAGAAGTCAATTTTGTAGGTCACACCCAGATTTTTTTAATGGCAAAATACCCAACACCCAAAGTTAAAGGGGGAAGGTTTATTTAGCTCACTGTTCATAGAAGTTTCAGTCCTAATTGGCTGGCTCCAAGGCAGAGTTGCACATGGCAGGGGGCAACAGTTCATGGTGGCAGAAGACAGCAAAAGCAACAAGGGACCTTAAGAGTGTCTTCCTGCCCCTATTATCTTATTCAGTCTACTTAGGGTGGGCAGCACTCACACTCTTAATCTTAGCACCCTCAGGTTTGCTCCACCATGAATTAGTCACAAACTCTAGACTCAGCCACTTCTGAAAAAGCACAAGTCTTTGCGGGGACACCTTAACACAAGCCATAACAGTGGACTTCATGTAAAAATGACAAAAACAGTTCCATACAACCTTTTATACAGTGTATATGTACTGCAATGTGCTGTAAAAATATATTATTGTCATGGGTAGTGTTACCACAAAACTCCAAAAACTGTATACATTGTGGTGTTGTTTGTAATAGCAAGTATTTGAAACAACTCATATGTCTCATAAAAGAGACTGAATAAGGGCTGGGGATTTAGCTCAGTGGTTCTGCCACCTGCCTTGCAAATGCAAGGTCTTGAGTTCGATCCCAAAAAAAAACTAAAAAAAAAAAAAAAAGAGAGAGAGAGGTAGAGACTGAATAAATTGTGCTATATTTACTGTAAAAGTTCTACTACTAATCAACAGTGAAAATAAATGGCATAGAGTTGAAATATCCATTAGTAAATATTCAAAATATACCCCAGAACTGCAAATCAAAGCAAAAACAATGCTGAGCCAAAAAAAAAAGGCTGCAGGAAAAAAAACACATATAAAATGTATAGAACATACAATTATGTAAAGCTTATAAATATAAAGAATGTCATGTGTAATTGTTTTGTTCTTTGAAACAAAGTAATATCTTTGGTACATATATGGCAAAAAAACTTAAGATTTGACAAAACTCAGTGGTAGGTACACATGGCATTTTATCATTCTCTAGGCACACATTTTTCTGTGTGCTTCAAATATTTATGTAAATGCAAAGTTTCAAATACTATATATTTAAGTCACAATCCTTATTCCATATTTATATCTTTTAAATACTATATCCTAAATAAAAATTTAAGGTATGTAGCAGGGCGCTTTATCAATGTTGTAAGTTTGCTGATTTTTTTTTCACAAATTTTGGATCAAGCCCAGAACCTTTTGCATATGAGTGCCCTACTACTTAGCTACATTCCCAGCCCTGTTGTCCCAGCCCTGTTGTGTTTTTTTATGTTTGTTTTTTTTTTTTTTGTACCGGGGATCAAACTCAGGTCCTTGAGCTTGCAAGGCAGACAGCAGAACCACTGAGCTAAATCCTCTGCCCAGCCCTGTTGCTTTAAAATGACAAACCTCCTTTGAGAAGTTGGGTGAGTGGACAACCCACTTTCCAGTCCCCCTTCTGTCTCTCTTAGGCAGAAGCTATCTTTCTCTCAATAAATTTTCCTACTCAAAAAAAATGACAAACCTACAAACCTTTAAAAAATATTAACCTAAACTTTCTAAAAATCATAGATTTGTAGCCACCTTGGTAATAATTTATTTCATTACTATGTGAATGTGTCACAATTCTAATCATTTCCCCAGAAACAAAAGTACCACAAATTCTTTCATATCTGGCATGGCTGAGGAACCCTATGTTCTGGTCAAATAGCTTTTGTTTTAATTATTAAGAGTTTCTATAAATATCATACATAGATAACCAATTTTTAAAAGAATTAACACAAAATAAACATACTAAAACATAAAACTACACAAGGTATAATCTATTTTTCACTGATGATTATGGAAAAGCTCTTTGAGATCTTGCAGTATTTACATTTAATGAAATAGATTTGTATTTTAGATTAAACCAGTGCTATTTTGCATGTCACAAAAATCCTGGAAAAACAAGTTATGAATTATGAATTCCATTTTTCTATACTAGCTCATAAAAAGTTCATAGCATCTTAATATCTTTATTGAAAAGCTAGAACTATGGATATTCTGAAGAGTCAATATACAGAAACAAACTACATTTACAAGATCTTAGATAAGGCAAGTTTGATACTTTCTTCACTACCGGGCAAAGCTAGGTACCTTTAAAGTCCGTGAAATGAAGGTCAGCATTGTCCATTTTTAAATCTCTGACTCGGGCCTATAGAACAAGAAAATATTTTTTTATATTCTGTCCTTTATCCTCCAATTTCTCAAATTTCCTTCCAGGCAATTTTTTCCTGTTCCTTGTTATCCAGAGGGTGGGGAGGTTGAGGAAACTGGAAAACCCACAAAAAATATTTGAGGATGGAGCCTAAAAGGAACCTAATAGAGATTTCCACCTCACGTCTTTTCTTACCAGAAATCTGCCCTGCAATGGGAAAACTAGTACTGTGGAGTACCCTGTGGTTGGTACTAGTTGCTTCCTCCCATTTGGTTCAAAAATCCTCCTCCCGTACAGTAAAAGCATCCAATCACCCACCATCTTCTTTCCCGCTCTCATAAATGGCTAGGCCTTCAGCCGCCCCCGCTCTCATCCCTACACCCAACCCATCCCCTAACGGTCACCAACTGTTTCCAACCCTCTGGTTTCAATGTCTACAGTAACTATACTATCATTCAGCGGCCCAACTCTCATACTCTCCAACTTCGTCAAAAAATATTGCCTTTACCCTGCTTCCTTCACCGTGAGAATCAGCCACAAACAGCTCTGTAGTCCAAAACCATGGCTTCAGAGCCACTCAAAAAATTGTTGGCCTAATGGCCGCATCTTCTTTGGGTAGTTTTAAACTGCAAACATGTACTAATAAAATTTTTTAAATAAATAAACCACTCAACTGGGCTGGGGGAGTACCTCAGTTTTAGAGCGCTTGCCTAGCAAGCGGAAGGCCCCGAATTCCATCTCCAGCACCGAAAAACAACGAAAAGAAAATAACTACCCTACTATCCCGTGCCGAAGCCTCCACTAGCCTTTGCTGCCCACTACCTCAACTCACCCAGGACGCCCACGCCAAGGCCTCAGCCGGTCCTCACAAACTCCTTGCAGGGCTTCCGAGCACGCTCGGAAAGCTCCTCCCCTTAGGGCTACGTCACGGAAGGCACCAATTGGCCTTTGCCCTGTGGGACAGAGCCTATGCCTAGGTCTTGGGTGTGCAGCTCAGAGATTCTTCGGGAGAGGCCAGGCTGAATCTCACTGGGAATGAGCAAGTAGGATATAAAACTGGAAAGCGTACTACAATTAATTGAGGAAAGAGTTCACAAGGCCGGAGCCGGAACTCACCAAAAAAAAAGTGCGGCGGGGGGGCGGGGAGTAGACAGCTCAAGTTATTTAAGAGTGTCAAGAGAGCTGGATACAGTGGCATAAATCTAGCCCCACCACTCTGAACACCGAGGCAGGAGGATCACTTGAGCTCAGGAGTTTGAGACTGGCCTAGGCAACATAGACACCTCTCAAAAAAAAAAAAAAAGGAGGGCCGGGGGATTTAGCTCAGTGGTGCCACTGCCTGCCTTGCAAGCTCAAGGTCCTGAGTTCGACCCCCAGTACAGACAAAAAGAAAAGAGAGAAAGGGGGGGGCAAAGGTCAGAAACATCAGAAGTTGAGCAGACTGACAATACTCTGTACTTCCAAGACACCTTTCTGTTGTCCTGCCCTTCTCAAATGTGAAGGGAACTAGCTAATGACTTCTGCTGGCTCATAGCAAGTTCATGTGTTCCATCCACCTTCAAAAAATGGTTTGAGGAATGGGGTGGAAAATGTAAGTAAATATGCTTGATTCCACCCAATTTATGTACGACATCTGCAACTAAGGAATGGCCTCTACAGAGGTCTCCACTGAAAGACAACAGTGACTCCAGGTTTGGAAACAAAACCCAATGTTAAAACCTCAACAAGAGGTCTGGGGATGTAGCTCAGCTGTACAGTGCTCAAAAATAACATTAACCTACTTTTCCCTTCATATACCCTTCCTTTTTTTTTCATGTATCCTTCCTTTAAGCCTTGTGCAACTCAGTCAGCCCAGATATGGAATTAATTAACAAGATGGTAAAAAGGTTGTGTACCAGGGATGTAGCTCAGTGGTAGAGCATTTGTCTAGCATGTGTAAGTCTCTGGGGTTCAATTATCAATAACAGAAAGAAAGAGGGGCAAGGGGGAGGTGACTGTGACTCTCATTGTGGGAACATTAACAGAGCTCCCTTTATTTGTGTGTATATATTTTTCTCATATAAGAGAAACAATAGTGTTTAAATTTGTGTTGTTAGGTAAAAAGAGCCAAAAACCAGGACCAGACCAGAACAATAACAAGCCTTTATTACGGGGAAGATCTGCTAGGCTGTCTCCAATCAAAGGAGAGAAAGCAACATGGTAGAACAGGGAGCTTCTTTTATAGGAGCACGGTGGGGTTAGCCTGAGCTGGGGTGGAGTTGAGTGAGGTAGTATTAAGGGATTGGAGGAGCCTGTGATATCACTAGGAGGGGTTTGTGACATCACTATTTGCTAGGAGTAGCAAGTATCAGGTTACCTTCTTGGCAGGAAGAGGAGCATGTTGGGAAGCAGAAGACTGTCCTTTGGTGGGAGAAGCCACATTTTAACATGGCATTATGGGAAGGAGGCTGCTATTCCACGTGGCAGCCATTTTAAGGCACAGAGCATTATAGGAAGGAGGAGGCTGTTATTTTATGTAGCAGCCATTTTAAGGCAAGGGAAATCTAACATGTGTGTCTGACTTATTTCACTTAACATTATGTTCTCAAGTCACATCCACTTACTTATAAATGCCTCAAATTTATCTTTCTTTATAGCAGAGTGTCACTCCATTGTATATAAATGCCAAATTATCTTCATCCATTTATCTGTTGATAAACATATATGCTGTTTCCAATACCTAGCTATTATAAATTATGCTGCTATAAACATAGAAGTAGGGAGAGATTAAAATAATCCCCCAAATTACCTATTGAAGGAATCTAACCACCATCATCCAAACCACCCCCTCCCAGCACAGCTGCACCTGGGATTCACACCACTATCAGCCCTGCTACTGAGAGCAGCCACTATTCTCTGCATTTCCCAAGCCTAGTCCTTGGGCAACCATGACCGCTTGTGTGCTCTCAAGCCTTGTTCTTGGCACGCAGCCACAACCCCTTCTCACTGAACTCCTCCCTCCCCATGACCCTACAAAAGACCCCATAGCCTGTATGAGAGCAGCTGGTCTGATCTCTAGTGCCACAGGGGTCTCTCAGGTTTGCTCTGCAATAAACCTGTCTTGTTGAGCTTGTACCTCTGTTTCATTTCCTCCTTTTTTCCTAACACCTATTCTGTTGTTTCGAAAATGTAATGGCTTGTGTCTAGATGTTCCCCCAAAGCCTCATGCAGTCATGGAGGTGGGGGGGCACTTTTCAGGGTGGCTGGATCTAGAGTATGTGGTGCTGGGATCAAGGGTGTGTGATTACTAAATCAGTCCACTGACTGGTTTGCCACAGTTATGGCTAGGATTAAGGGTGTGAGTGCTACACCCGCCCTAGGGTAGCCTGCATAAAACATAAGGGACCGAAAGAGGGCTAATGTGCTGTCACCTGCCTGCCTGCTGTGGACTGTTTCTCCTCTGAGGTGACCCTCTGCCATGCCACCCTGCTTCAGAGCCAGCCAACTATGAACTGAAACCTCTACAAACTGTGAGCTAAATAAACCTTTCCTCTTTTAACTTTGGGTGTTGAGTATTTTGTCTCAGCAAAGAGACGAAAGTACTAAGACAAAAAATATTTTAACATATATGCTAATTTGTTTCATTTATTCTACTAGATTCTTAGTTCATTGAAAAAAGTTTCGTGCTGTTATCTGTTTCTTCTTTGTAAGAGATCTTTTTTGTCTATATCTTGTACTCTAAGTAACTACTTTGAAGATAATGATACACAATGTATTATTGTTATTGTCTTATTACGAGATTTTGTTATGAAATTTTGCTTTTTCATAAACAAATTTTAAAATAAAAAGAGTACCTTCCTGATCCCAAAAGTCTCAGAATCAGTCATTACATAACATGGAAACTTGCTGAAAATAATTTATTTTCTCTCTTCAAATTTTTCTACATCTAGGGTCCAGCGATTTAGTTCATGGTTACACTGCCTGCCTCACAAGTGCAAGAACCCGAGTTTGATCCCTGGTACCAAAAAAATTTTTTTTCTAGATCTAGATCACATAGTACAGTAAAGAGAAGAGAGAAACAATAGGAATAAAAGGTCTAAAGGTGTAGGGGAAGTGGGAGGGGTAGGGGAAAAGTAAGAGGGAAAGAAAAATAATATGAAAAAAGGAAAATAATGGAAACAAACTTTGTAAATAGGGAAGGGTGGAGGGGGTGAAGGGAGGGCAGGGGAATGGGAAAAAATACGAACCAAGATCTGTCATGTAAAGGTACAAGATCCCAATGATGAATGTAACTATTGTATACCTAAAATGTACCAATAAAAAATTAATTAATTTAAAAAGAAAAGAGAAAAAGAAGCCAGGTAGGGTGATGCACATCCATAATTCCAGTCTCAGGAGGCTAAGGCAGGAAGATTTCAAGTTGAAGGCTAGACTGGATCCCTTGGTTCAATCTCCAGTGTGGAAGGAAGAAAAAAACGGGCCTCATAGTGCATGCCTATAATCCCAGCACTCTAGGAGGCTGAGGCAGAAGAATCATCACAAGTTTAAGGCCAGCCTGGACTACATAGTGAGTTCTAGTCCAGCCAAAACTGCAGAGTGATACTCTGTCTCAAAAAAATAAACAAAAAAATTTTTAAAAATTTTAAAATGTACTTGGTGGGTTATAGCTCAGTGTGAAGGTCCTGGGTTCAATCCTCACTACTGCAAAAACAATAAGTTGAAACAACTGGATAGCCATTTGAAAAAACTAGATTTTTATCTCATTTCATTTCATATATCAAAATAAATTCTACACTAATCAAAGATTAAATTCAGTCATAAAATTTCTGCAAGAAGTTTCCATATTTTATAAACACAATGGCAAGATCTAAGCATGATCTCAAAAAACAAGAATTAAAAGAAAACATAATGATAAGTTTTAATACACAAAAAATAAAATCTTCTGAATGACACTACAATTAAGCTTGAAAGACAACCGGACTATAAAAATAGTTTTTCAATAACAGATAAAGTTAATACTTCCAACATAAAAGAACTCTTCAAATTAAAAAGAAAAAGACAAATATTCTAATATATAAACAAAGAACAAGATCAGACAATTTACACAGGAAGATATATAGCCAATAAATACATTAAAAATATTCAACCTCACCAGTAATTATAGAAATGCAAATTAAAGCAAGGTAAAATTTTTATCTATCAGATTGACAAAGGTTAAAAAGATTATTTAAACCTCAGATTTGGTAAGATATACAAAACAGGCATTCTTATACACTGTTGATAGGAACACAAATTGTTTTAGTTTTTCTGCAAGGAAGGCAGTTTAGTAATAATGTATCAAAAAATCTTTTTTCTGTGCTAGGAATCAAACCTAGGTTTTCCACCTGTTTATACTAACACTTTACCACCAAGCTATACCCAAATCCCTGTATCAAAATCTTTAATGTGTGAACCCTATAGCTAAAAATCCCCCTTCTAAGAATTTTCCAAATGGAAAAATTTTACAAAGATTAACAGAAATGCTTACTGAAGCATGGTAAAATCCACTTAAATGTTCACCAGTTGTCGACTAGTTACACAACTTTTAAAGTACATTAGTTAAGGACCGGAGATTTAGCTCAGTGGTTCCACTGCCTGCCTTGCAAGCGCAAGGACCTGAGTTTGATCCCCAGTACCAAAATAAAAAAATAAATAAAGTACATTAGTTAGTAGCATACAGTGGAAGGCTTATAAGCCTTTCCAAAAAAATCTATACTTATAAATCTAGGGGAATGTCTATGTCCTACTGTTGAGTTTGAATAAGTTTACAGAAAAGGTATACACTTAAGTAAAATTGTAAGCAAAGTTGAATAAAAACATCTGAAAGAGTATTTACCAGAATGTCACAAGGTTTCTTTCTGAGCTCACATCCAGCCCAGTTACGTGGTTTTCCTTTTATTTTTCAGTGTTTTTAAATTTTTTTCAGTGAAAAGCAGGGTATGGTGGCGCACACCTGTAATCCCAGCACTCGGGAGGCTGAGGCAGGAGGATCGCTGTGAGTTCAAGACCAGCCTGGGCTGCATAGTGAGTTCCAGGTCAGTCTCAACTACACAGTGAGACCCTGTCTCAAAAAAACAAAAAAAAATTTCTTCAGTGAACACATATTTTATCATTGGGGGAAAAAAGAAGCTATGTTCATAAAAGAATAAAATACACAGAAAGATGAAGGAGTTTTTTAATCTGATGGGGGCCTATATTCTCTGCAAAAAAGTATGAAGCAAAGTCAGCAGCAGAGAGTAAGAGGGAATGGCTCTAAGAATATGAATAAGGTAAGAAAGTTTTTTCAGAGAGCAGGGGAACTGAGAGAAAAGGCGAACTTTCAGCAATGGGGAGGGCCTAGTCAAAGTTGGTGATCATTACCTGCTAAACTGTGTGATTGTCTCCGAAAATCCTGAATTGCAGGTTAAACTATGAAGATCAGTGTCTGAATCTCTCAGGTTTCTTTTTTTTTGAGATAAGGTCTCACTGTGTAGTTAGGCTGACCTTGGACTTACCATGTAGCCCAGGCTGGCCTTGAACTCCCAATGATCCTCCTGCTTCAGCCTCCCCCGCACTGGAAATACAAGTGTGCACCACCACACCTGGCTGTATCTCCTAGGCTTGCAGGGAAACTGGAGCTTTAACTAGGGAGTTAGAGGTGTTTGCATAATAGTGATAATGGTTATAAATTCAGGAATTTAGGTGGGTAAGAGCAAGGAAAGACTAAAGGAGACTGACAAAAAGAGTGAAAGTGTGTGTGGGAGTGAGATCAGTGAATTGGGGGTATCATGATGTCAAAGAATTATTGTAGTAGGGTTACTTGAGCAAATGAGCTGCGGAAGCTTGGCAAAGTTGAAGACAGAACTTGTTTGAACGAATGATTTCTGAAGCCTGTGTTCTGACAAAATATAGGGTATGACTACATGACTAGATAGCTAAGATGGAGTTCTTTGAATCAAATTACAGAACCATACCCCCTCCCATATTTTAACACTTCTATTTTTAATAAATACAATTATACACATTTATGGGGTAGAGTGTGATGAGTCAGTAGATGTGTACAATGTATAATGATCAGATCAGGGTAATTAGATTTCCAGCTCCTTAAACACATAACCATTCTTTTTCTTTTCTTTTGTATATGCATGTGGTGCTAGAACCCAAGGCTTTAGACAGGCTAGGCAAGTGCTCTACAGTTGAACTACATCCCCAGCTCATCATTATTCTTTTAATACTTTAATAATAAATAATTATTTTAAAATTTTTTTGTTTTGTTTTGGTTTTGAGACAGGGTCTCACTATGTACTTCAGACTGGCCTTGAACTTATTACGTAGTCCAGCTGGTCTTGAACTCACAGCAATCTTCCCACCTCAGCCTCCCGAGTGGTGGGATTACAGTCTTGTGCAACCATGCCCGGACACTAATTATTAATTAATGGGGAATTTTATTAAATTGTTTAAATTGGGCTCAACTTTTCAATCATCCTGCCTCAGCTTCCTGTGTGCTTGGATTAGAGACATGCACAACCACACCTGGCATTATTTTTTAGTTGACACATAAAAAGTCTAAATATTAATAGAGTAACATCCGCATACTTCTTGCATTTAGTGTCAAGCTTTGGAATTAATAGCCTTCAAGGGTCTCACTGGAACCTTCTTTTCTCATTTTTCCACTTCACTCCTTCAGAGCCCTATGCTAGCGAGGCCTGTGGTTCATGAGTGGTATATATATAATAACCTTCCAAAGGCCAAGATTATAGTTGCACACTACCGCCCCCAACTCTATTTTCTTTTTAAAACAAGTATATTTAGCCAGGAGCGTAGCTCAGTGGTAGAACACTTGCCTGGTATACTCAAGGCACTGAGTTACATCCCTAGCATGCTTCCAAAAAAGCTTCAAAAATAAGGAGCTCGCCAGTCACTATGGCACACACCTGTAATCCCAGCTACTTCATGAAGCTGAGCCTGAAGGATTGCAAGTTCAAGAAGAGTCCAGAAAATTTAGCTCTGTAGTAGACCCCCTCTGGGTTCAACCAGTCATATTGAAAAAACAATTAGTGAGTTGTTTTGTTTTTATTTAAATGCTTTACTGGAATTACACAAATAGAGAAGAGAAACCAAGGATTAATAGCATCTTATATAATTTTTCAGAAAAAATATGTACAACTATATTCTCTTTTGGTCTTTCATAAATATTCTGCACATTGGAGTTTCAATTTGTTTTGTTTTTACTTAACAGAGTATCTTGAAGAGCCTAGTTTTTTTTTTCCAGTACTTGGATTGAACGTGGAGCTTTAGCACTGAGCTACATCTTCAGCCTTCTTATTTTTTTTTTTATTTTGAAACAGGTTCTTGCTAAGTTACTGAATTGCCCAAGCTAGGCTCAAACTTTCAACCCTTCTGCTTCAGCCTCTCAGAGTGCTGGGATTACAGGCTTGTGCTACCATGCCCTGCTCAAGATCATCTACTGGCAAGTATAATTCATTCTCTCTCTCCCTCCCTCCCTCTCCTTTCCTCTCCCCAGGGCACATGCTAGGCAAGTGCTCTTACTATTGAGCTGTACCCCACCCATGAATTAATGTATTTTAATTTAACTAGTTCCTTGCTGACGAACATTCATAGCTTCCAAGTTTTATGCTATTTTTTTTTGAGATGGGGTCTCACTATATAGTCCAGCCTGGCCTCATCATACCATGAAGCCAAGGCTGGCCTCGACCTTGCGGCATTCCTCCTGCCTCAACTTCCCGAGGGCTAGGATTACAGGCATGTGCCACAGTGTCCAGCCTATGTTATATTAATAATGTCTCATTAGGGACTGAGGGTGTAGTGCAGTGATAAAGGACATGGATTTAATATGCAAGAGACCCTGGGTTCAATACCCAGTACCAAAATATAATGTCTCAGTAAACATATATATGTAAATTTTTTAAATTATTTTAAGTAGAATTGTCAGACCAAAAGGATTGTGTTGGGTTGGCATGTGGTCCAATGGTTGAGTGCATGTCTAGTGTACATGAGGCCATGGGTTCAACCCCCAGAACAGACAAAAAAAGAAAAGAATGAGCTTTTAATTCTTCTATCCAAATGTCTTCTACAAAAGCTACAAGCACATATAGCCCTATCATTCATGAGACTGTTTGCTGCCACTTTAGTCAATATCTAGTCCTTAATTTTTTTGCCATTCTGTAAGATCTCAGATCTCATAGTTGTTTTGATTCATTTGTTTTGAGATTGAGCATCTTTTTCTTGTATTTGCCAAGATGCTCTTTAGTCTCACACAATTTATAGTACATATTCTGTCTCTTGAGTTCTTGATTCCTAAATCTATACCTGTAGCCCAGTCTTCAAGTTCAAAGGTCCAATTGTTTTTTATATATATATATATTTTTTTTTGGTACTGGGGATGGAACTCAGGCCCTTGTGCTTGCAAGGCAGGCGCTGGAACCACTGAGCTAAATCCCTGTCCTTCAAAGTTCCAATTATTGACAATCTATCTTTACATGTATGAAGTTAAACTCATGAGTATGTTTAAAAATTTAGCACACTTGGAAGTGAATTTATATTATCCCACATACTATCTTCCTTTTATGTTCCTTATCTTAACTAGTGATTTGATCATTCACTCTGAAATTTTCCCAGAAATCAGTCATCATTTTTTTTCCATTATTGGGGACTGAACCCAAGGCCTTCACACTAAGCTGTATCTCCAGCCTGTTTTTTTAAATTTTGAGACAAGGTCTCGCTAAGTTACCTAGGCTGGGCTCGAAGCTGCAGTCCTCCTGCCTCAGACTTCCAGAGTGCTAGGACCACAGGCATGTGCTGCCACACCCAGATACCCACTTCCTTTCCTCCTACATCCTTCCCTCCATATGCACATCATTTACAAGACAACATTTGAATACCTTACACAAGGCTATGCATTTGGTCTGTTACCTTTCACAACACATGCTGCCCTCCAGATACATTCAAACTATATATGCCATTGCCCAAAGATAATCTGGTTTCTTATTTCCACAATGTTCTGCATACTGCTTACTGATAGTCAAGCCCTCCCCTCAGTTTGCTTAAGCACCTACTCCACACTCTGCTCATGTGTCCTTCTTTGTGCTTCCTCGGCACCAATCATTGTTTTGTGCCTGTATTTTCTGCTTATCTCCACAGCAGATGGGGAGTTCCTTGAGGGAAGAGATTGTTTTATTCACATTTGATTATCAGTGCTCAGCACAGGGTCTAGCATTTACATGTGTTTGTTGGATAAATGAATTAATTAATGATGCTTGGTCTGGGCAGAACTTGGATCTCTGTTCCCCTACTATATCTGTAGCAATCAGATATATGTATGGTCCTTTATAAAACTCCTCTACTGTCCACCCCTCCCCTCCCAGGAGTTTAAGAACCCAGCCAAAATTTTTGTTCCCTAAACAGTCATAGGAGTCTGGGACTGATCCAACTAGAAGGAACAGAACAAAAAACAGGGGTTTCAGTGCAGGTCCTAACCAATGCCAGTGTTGAAGTCAGAGTCCACCCCTAAATCCTGGGGCTGAGTATTGCTGGCTACTTATGCAGAGCCTAATGATTTTAAGTATAGCAAGGGAAAACCACATTGTATGATCATTCCATTAAGGATGACTAGTCTGTCTGAAGGACTGCTTAGCACTACCCTCTTCAAACCTGAGTCCACAAAAAGCACAATCAGGCACAGAAGATCATTTTTGTGATGACTGAAGAAAGACAAAAGACACTTATTTGAAACTCTCCAGCCTTAAAAGTCAGGCTCTGCATCATGTCTAGCAAGCAAAGAACAACAGTTTCTTTTCTTTCCACTTTCTTTTAATATTTATTTAAAATTCCAGTAAGCAACTACAGAAACCATTTAAAAGTAGACAAGTTAAAAAAAAAAAAAGAGATGAGAAACAGCAAGGACACATCCTTGGCTCTACAATAAATGCAGAGCTTTATTAGTATCCCCCACCAACATCACATGGGAGGGCCAGCTTTCCATGGGATCAAGAGTACTCTCCATTTTTGTACAGGGGAGCAGGTAGCACTCAGGTGTGTCAAAATGAGTGGATACAAGGACTGCTGAGATCAAGGTCTACAGATCTACTGAGATCAAGGTCCACAGTTTTGGTCCTAGACTTAGACAGGGGTTTGACACTCTTAAATTCTTCCAAGCTGTGCTGGATCCCATAGCTGAAGTAGATAACAAATCCTGATGAAGAAAGGCAGCTGTGAGGTAGGGAAATAGTGACCCCCTTCTACTAGAGATCAAGAGCAAAAGGAGTTGGCACAGGACACCCAAGGGGTTTACTCTTCTCAACTGGATACCTACCTATCAGCATCCAGACCCCAAATCGGGCCCAGGTACCAGGTGTCATCTGCATCATAAGATAAACATTCACAAAGATGCTCACTATTGGGAGGAGAGGCACAGCAGGCACCTGGAAACAAAGGAAAATCACCACAGGGTGACCCAGAGATTTCTGTTCTACTCATGCCCTGTAGATCAGTGGCCACTCATTTACAATACCTCATATAGGACTCCCAGAATACACAGTTTGGGAAAAAGGAACTAGAAAGGAACTTTTTTAGTGAAAAAGTCTCTGGCCTGGGTACCTCCTAGTCTTCCTTTTTATACCTAATTCAATATCTATAAACTTTTTATTAGACCACAAGGCATGTGAAACCTATTCTTCCAAGATGGGCTGGTGGTGGGAAAGAGAAAGGTCATTTACCTTAAAGTGAAGGCGAGTAGAGCTCTGCGGCTGTCTCCAGATAACCCCAGTGATTCCAGTGATGAGCAGCAGGAGTAGCACAACCATTGCCACCCATATTGGGTCTCCAGAAAGCAGTGGAATTTGCCACTGGGCCAGCACCAGGCAAAGGAGAGTCAGCAGTACAGCTTCAAAGGTCAAATTGAGAGACATCAAAACCAAATCTTGAGACCAACATGTTAAAATGTTAGGCACCCCATGCCCAAGGAAATTATTCTCTCTAGAGCTTCCTCAGCCACCAAATACCACTAACAACATATCCACCCCAGTATGCTGACACCTGAAATCCACCTCAAAAGAAAAGGTCCACTGCTCACCAAGCAGTGAGGAACAAACATAAACAACTTGGCCAGAAAGTGGAGTAGGGATGGAATTGAGTGGGCAAAACAGTCCCTGGAGGGTCAGCTTCTCTGCTTCTGATATCTTTTCCTCCTGTAATTCTACTTCCTCTTCCCCAGTCGTCATTTCCTGGTCAGGCTGATACCTGAAGCAAGAGTAAGTAAACTCCTTTAAACACATTCAATAACCACTTTACCATCTTCCCCCAGGTAGCTTCATCTTCCTCATCACTATTAAAAGTAATTATTGTTTATTTGTTTGTTTGTTTGCAGTACCCAGAGCCTTCACACTGAGCTGTATCATCAGCCATTTTCTTGTTTTTAATTTTGAGACAGGGATTCACTAAGTCACTGTTGCTCAGCCTAGGCTCGAACTTGCAGTCTTCCTGCCTTAGCCTCCCAAAGTACAGGGATTATTGGTGTGCACCACCATGCCCAGCTACAAGCTCTTTTGGATATGATGGGAAACCCAGATTCATTGAGGAAAATCAGGATGACAAAGGCAGAGGAGGGAGAAGGAGCAGATCCCCATCAGTCCTCATCCAATAAAAACCCCAGTCACAGTGTGCAGAAGAGGGTCTCACCTGAGGATGAGAACACAAATAGACACCAGGGAGTAAGCAAGCAGGGTCCCAATTGACATAAGGTCCACAAGATCAGTGAGTTCAAAGAGGAACGCCATGAATGCTAAAAATGGTGGGCAAAAGACGAGAAGTGAAAGAAGGGAATGGCAAAGTTTTAAAGGAGATATGAAAGAACTAAGAGTATTTTTTACCTGCAATAATGCCAGAGACCACAGTGGCCACAACAGGTGTGTGTGTGCCGGTGTGGATGCGGGCAAGGACACGGAACAGGAGGCCATCCTCTGCCATTGCGTAGATCACCCGAGGCATAGGGAACATAGAACCCAAGAGGCTGCAGAGGAGAATACCCAGAGTGGCATGAGTGGACTGAGCTCTCTTCCCATGCCTTAATTCTTAAAGCATTTCCACTTTCCCTTCACATCTCTTTTAAAGGGTAGCCTTAGTACTAAGGGGTAATTTTTTAGTACAAAATGAGATTCTGACAGGAGGAAAACAAACTTTTTTTTTGGCAGTATCTGATGTTCAATCCAGGGCCTCACACATGTTAGGCAAGCTCTTTACCACTGCACTACATCTCCAGCCCTTTATTTTTACTTTACTGTGAGACATGGTCTCCTTAAGTTGCCCAAGTTGAATTCAAACTTGTGGTCTTCCTGCCTCAGCCTCCTGAGTAGCTGAGGTTACAGGTATGCACCACCATGCCCAGCTGGAAAACAAACATTTGACACTGACCTGGTAGAAAGAGCACAGAGGGAGCCAACAGCCACAAGGTAGTGGGCAGGAACCCATCCAATATGGAGAAATGCTTCAGGCAAAGGGCTCTCCGGTTGAAGCTGGTAGTAAGGCATCATGAGGGTGAGTGCTGATGAGACACCAAAGTATGCCAAAAAGCACACAAATAATGAGATTACAATGCCCATGGGGATGGAACGTTGTGGATTCTGGGCCTCTTCCCCTGCAGGAAAGAGCACAGCACAAAAGTTCTCAGCCAGGGAAGAAGGCTCGCTCTTCTACCACCCCCAATATGCATGCAGCCTGGGTACACACTCTCCCAAACCCTGGACAGAATGGAGTGATTATGTTACCAGTGGTAGCAATGCAGTCAAAACCAACAAACGCATAGAAACAGGTAGCTGCTCCACGAAGAATCCCCTCGATGCCAAAAGGCACAAATCCTCCAGATCCCATAAGGCCCAAGCTAGAGTGAAAGAAGGAATGGAAAAGGTAAGGTATGTTCAGCTACCTCCATACCTTTCCTCTAATGCCAAACTACTTGGCTAGGTCTTCAAATCCCAACCTCCCATTTTCCCCCACCCCCACACTAAACCCCTCAGCATGGATCCCAACTCCCCATCACATTCCCAAACCTGCAGCTCCTAAGAGTGACTCTCTAACCTATCAGTGTCATTGAGTCCAGCTTTAGTCAATGCGTAGTCGTCTTCTGTGAGCATCCAGTTGTGCAGGTCTCCCTTAATGAAGCCAGAGATGATGACAAAGCCGAGAACAAAAAGGTTCACCACTGTGAACACTTTGGTAACCAGGGCCGACTCACTAGCCCCCAGAGCCAGCAATCCTGTGAGAAAAATTCATTCACAACACTGAGAAAGTCCTCTACCCCAACTTTGCTTTATTTTCCTGCCTCAGACTTATTCCTTCTCAGCTTCTCCTTTCCACCATCATCACCTTCATCAATCTCTTTCCAGGCTCAGCCCCCTTCCGTCTTCCTAGCCCTGAGCCTAGTCCCACCCCCACCATCGTATCCTGCTTCTTGCCTTACCAGTAAGCAGCAACACAAGGCCCATAGCAAAGAAGTCTGGATATTCTGCCAGGATATGGGGCACATTCAGTGAGATCGTCCCCTTCAGAGCGTGAGAGATGTGATTCCCAATCAGGTTGTCAAAAGCACAGCTCCAGGCCCGGGCCACACTGGCTGTACCTGGTGAGACAGAGGGAGAAACATGGAGTCAAGTTGCCTCGCTCTCCCATTCGTCTCACACAAATCCCTGCCAATATCACCCAGCACCACTCATTCTTGGGGTTGTTTTGTTTGTTATGGGGTGTTTTAGGAGCTAGAGACTGAACCTAGGGCCTCAGGCACACATTCTCCATCAAACCACATCTCCAGCCTTACTCTTAATTTTTTAAGAACCAAAACCAGTCACTTATTGAAGGAAACCCAGACAGAAGTGAATATAATAAACAATTTCTCCATACTTTCAACCCTCCCACACCCACATAAACATACACATTTAGGTTTACTGAGGCCCTACAAAGAGTAATGCTTCAGGTACACTATTCCCCCAGGTGTCCTGGCCCAAAGTCCCTCTGCTAGCTGTGCAGTTCCCTCCCTGCCCCACCTTCTCACCGATGACATAGGAGAGGATGAGGTTCCAGCCAGTGGTGAAGGCCCAGAGTTCACCCACAGTGACATAGCTGTAGAGATATGCAGAACCAGAACGGGGGACCCGGGCACCAAACTCTGCATAGCACAGCCCAGCCAACACAGAAGACAGAGCAGCCACCAAAAAACAGATCACAATAGAAGGACCTGCTTTATCTTTGGCCACCTCACCAGCCAGGACATACACGCCCGCACCCAATGTGCTGCCCACACCCAGGGCCACTAAATCCACAGTGCTGAGGCATCTGGAAAGGCGGGTCTCAGCCAGTCCTGGCTCCAGCGTACGTCTCCGTACCAGCTTACGCCCAAATCTGCGAAGTGCCTGCCACAGCATTCTAGTTGGAATTGAAGAGGATGCTAAAATCTGGTGAAAAACAAGACAAAAACCCTTCAATGGGGCTCACCATTCCTAAACTCTAAAAGTGAATTACAAGACCCACTAGGCCCACTCCAGCAAGCAAAAGAGCTAATAGGGAAAGGGTAGGGGGGAATTGAGGGGACAAAGGCAAGTCAGACTACCTCTAACCTCTGTTTCTTCATATGCAAGTAGGGATTACAGTACCTCAGGAGGTTTGTGGAAGGACTAATTTCACAAAAGACAAGTGAAAGCCCCTTGCAGTACAGTAGTTGTTACCTAGTAAGTGCTTGGATATTAGGTTTCCTCTTTCCCTGGCTGGGAACCTGCAGAATTTATCGTACACCCCACCCCCCAGCCCTGAAACCCGATGTAATTGTTCCCTGACCTGTGAGTGGCTCCTTGGGAATCAAGGAGCTCAACTCCGGAGAAGCCAGCAGGTCTATGAGACTCCCCTTTCTACATCAATATCCACGAGGTTCCAGTCTGGTCTCAACCCCAGGGCTAGAAACAGATCGCCTAGGACTGGGACCCCAGCTTCCGCTACAGATAAAAAGTGAGAATCAGCTCAATTTCACCTCTCCTCACCAAGCCCACAATGCTCAAGTGGCGCAGCGTTTGCCGAGGGCAGTAAGCAAATGCCCCCCCCTCCACCCAACTAGGTCGACCTGCGACCATCAACAGTGAGGCGGGGCTCCCACATCTAAGATTTGAGGACGTGCCGTGAGAGGGGCCCAGAGCAGCCTGAGATTGTTCTCACTCCCCTCTCTGCTGAAATGAGGGGTCCCGCCGTATGCTCCCCGAGTCCGTTCCCAGATTTTTATGCTTCCATCCAAGAACGGTCTGGGGCAGAGGTGGAGATGGTAGCCTTGGCTCCCGGGGCCCAGGTCTTGCCAGCAACAGGTCACGGCCGCGTTGATGCAACTGCAAGCCATGGCTGCCCGAGAATCCTAGGTATGCGAGGATCCTCAGCATCCCTCCTCTCCCGGACACACGTGTTGACCCCAAAGGCTTACCAGAGAGATGTGACAGGCCGGGAAACAGAATCTGGAGTCCGGCTCGGTGAGGCAGACTTAAGCGAGTTGGGCTAGGGTTGCCGAGTTGCGTAGCTCAGGCTTCAAAGCTGCGGTTTGGGGTCGTTACGCGCCAAGCGCCCCTTATATTCACCAGGAGGCGGAGCCCGCAACGTCATAGGATCCTACCCCCAATCCTCCTCCCTACATAAACAAAACACACACACACACACACACACACACACACACGCACGCACGCACGCACGCACCTTGGCTTTACAAAAGGTATTGCGTGGGGCCTGAAACTGCTTCCCACCAGCCACAGCAAGCCTGGCGTGGCGGGAGCGAGAAAGGGGAGAAGACAGCCTTTTCTTTTTATCCTCGCTGGTCCTTAGAGCAGGACAATAAGAGGCTTCCTGCTGGAGACCCCATGGGATTTTTTTTTTTTTTACCCCTGTGCCTTGTCAGTCAGAATCAGTGACTAGGCGAGAAGAGGATGGGGGAGGGGTAGAGAGGATTTGTGTGCGAATAGTGGAGAGTGAAACAGCACCCGGAGTGTCCACCTCCCTCTCCCTCAGTCCTCCTTGGCTTTCTTGTCTACGTGAGGTCTCTCCGATCCTGAAATCTTTCCCAGAGACTTTATCAAATTATAAAGAATCATATGATCTGCATCCCTCAGCTCTCGCCCTCAACTGTAGATATTTTTAATACTGATAGCAAGAGAATGAAAAATGGCTTGAAACCACCTGTACATAGGTAATTAAGCTCTAGACTTCTAGGCCTCCATCTCTCCATAATGTGTTTCTAGCTGCATATAGCTATTAAATTTGAAATTCTAACAATATTAATATTTTGGATGAGGGACCTTTATTCCTTTTTTTTCCCCCTTTCTTTTTTCCTCCAGTGATGGGGATCAAACCCTTGGTCTGCTGTACAATAGGCAAGTGCCCTATCACCGACCTGCATCCCCAGCTCCTTTACTTCCATTCTACTGATGAGTAAACTGAGGCTCAGAGGCCTGAGCAGTCTGACAGCACACCGTAATTATTGTTGACCACCTTCCGGATAAAACCTAACTGTTGCCAATTGGAATTCAAAACCTACCTCCCACAGATACTAGAACCTCATTCAAATGCACAAGAAGAGGAGGTTTGGCCACAAGCAAAGGTAAACAGGAAGAAGCACAAGCAAAGGGGCAGATCTTTTTAAGCTAGGAAACAGGAGCTGAAGAAACTAAAACTGGTCAGGGTGGCTCAGATCCTTAAATTACATGGCCCAATCTGCTCATAGTCATAAGGGAGTAACAAGGGTTGTGAAGGTGTGGTTCTCTTCCGCCAAGACATCTTGAGGGTTAAGGATGAACCCAAATATCTTTGTTTCCTTTAATGATCCTTTATAAATATGTTGCCCATGAATCAAACATGTAAACCCCTTTTGAAGTAACCTGTATTTTCAGCTAGGTGAAGGTCATCTAGACATTGAATACTGTGTTGGGCTTGTGCTGTCACTGAAAGTCAGAGCTCTTGCCTAGCCTCAGTGAAGCTCTAAATTCAATCTCCAGCCACCAAAAAAATCTTTTTAAAAAGATATGTTTATTGCCGGGCGTGGTGGTGCACACCTGTAATCTCAGCACTTGGGAGGCTGAGGCAGGAGGATCACTGTGAGTTCGAGACCAGCCTGGGCTACATAGTGAGTTCCAGGTCAGTTTCAACAACGTAGTGAGACCCTGTCTCAAAAAAAAAAAAAGATATATTTATTGAGAATCTATGTATAGTAGCATACAATGCAATTGAAATGGTATTAATAGAGGTTAGGAATGCAGTGTTTGGAATTACACATAATTTAAATCCCCTACTCAGTCACTGTGGCTTTGAGCAAATTACCTAACATCTCTGAGTCTCAGTTTTTGGATATAATAGACATATTTCATAGGGTTGTTGTGATGCTTAGGTAAGATTATGAAGCCAAGTCTTTCTTTTTCTTTTCTTTTCTTTTTTTTTTTTTTTTTAGACAGGATCTCACTATGTATTTCAGGCTGGTCTTGAACTCCCACATAGCCCAGGCTGGCCTGGAACTCACAGAGATCCTCCTATCTCAGCCTCCCTCGTGCGAGTACAGGCGTGTGCCACCATGCCTGGTCAAGTCTTCCTTCTTGGCACATGAGAAACATGCAATGAAAAATTGATATATATTCAGAATAAAATACTAGTATGTATTATAATGATCTGGTTGCTTAGATTCAATGATTGCTTGGATTATGAGATTACTGATGAATTGATAAATAAATGTCAGGCAAAGAAGTCACTACAGACTAAAATAGAGAAAGGTTTCTTGATTTTCTTTTCTTTTTTCTTTTTTTTTTTTTTTCTTTTTTGGTACTGGGGATCAAACTCGGGACCTTGTGTGGCCGGGGATTTAGCTCAGTGGTTCCAGCGCCTGCATCACAAACGCAAGGACCCAAGTTCGATCTCCAGTACCTAAATAAATAAACAAACAAACAACAACAAAAAAAAAAAACTCGGGACCTTGTGCTTGCGGAGGCAGGCAGTGGAACCACGTAGCTAAATTCCCAGCCCTTGAGGCTTCTTGATTTGTAAGGAGTTCTGGAAGGAGATCGGGCAAGGATTTAAAGCTCAGCCTTGAGATTTAGGAAATAAAGTCAAGAAATAAAATGAAAACCAGCCTACCAAATGCAGTGTGTGTTAGGCAGCAATGGAAGATAAGGATGAGTGAATGGAAGCCTTCCTCTAAGAGTAACAGATGTCTTACACATATTACCTAATATGTAAACAATACCTCTTGAAAACCCTCTAATCACAGGGTTAATTCCCCTAGCAACCAGCTGCACATTGGGAAGCTATTCAGGAGCCCCAACCTTCAGTCGTTCATTAGCATACAAAAAGTTGTGCATCCACTACTACAACCAATTTGAGAAACTTTCATCATCTCGGAAACAAACCCTATACCGTATTCTAGCTGCTCACTATTTCCTCCCAACTCACCCCAGTCCTAAGCAACCACAAATCTATTCTCGATCTCTATAAATTTGTCTAGATCTTGGCCAAGGGATACAAAGTTTCAGTCACACAGGATGAATAAATTGTGGCGATCTAATTACATCATGGTAATTATAGTTAATAATATTTTGTTATACTTGATAAAGCTAATAATATCACATATTCTAGTATATATAATTGAAATTTGCTGTGATGAGTCAAAATATACATATATCAAAACATGATGCTTACTTCAGCAGTACAAACACTAAAATTGGAATAATACACAGAATATTAGCATGGTCCCTGCTTAAGGGTGACATGCAAATTTTGTGAAGCTTTCTATATGTTTGTAGGGCTGAGAGCATAGTTCAGTGGTAGAGCACTTGATTAGCATTAGCTAGGCCCCGAGTTCCATTTCTAGTCCCACAAAAAAAGTTATTGGCTGGAGTATATAGCTCAGTGGTAGAGCCTTGCCCTGCATGCATGAGAACCTGGATTAAATCCCCAGTACTGTAAAAAATTCATATTGTGCCTCTTAATTAGATATTATTTTTATTTTCAAATTATAACTCAATAAATCCTGAAATAAAATAAATAATGTGGGTGAGGAAAAAAATCATTTGGGAGTTATCAAATTAATAACTAATACAAGCAAGGATCATCAATAGATGATCCTTGGGCATTGAGAAATCCAATATTCACATGATCTCAAAGTATTCTCCACAGATCATATTAATTGCAATGTGAAAGTTGCCTGGATTCATTTTATATTTCTACCTTAACAAATTACTACAAACTTACCTGTTTAAAAAAACACAAATTTATCACATGCTTGATAGCTCAGAAGTCTGGCACTGTGTGTCAGGGTTCTTTTCAATGCTCTAGGAATGAATCCGTTTCTTAGCTCATTTTAGTTTTTGGCCAAATTCACTTCAATGCAGTTGTAAAATAGAGGTCCCTGTTTCCTTGACCACATGTCCTCTTTAAGGCACTGTGCCTCAAATCCTCCTGCTTTCAATCTCTGACTTTTGACTTTCCCTCTTCTACTGTCTGTATGTGTGTGTATATGCCCGTACGTGCATGTGTGCTTATATATGTGTGTGCGTGCACACGCGTGTGTGTGTGTGTGTGTTTTGCTGGGGATGGAACCCACGGCCTCAGACTTGCTGTACCACTGAAGTGTACCTACAGCCTTCCTCTTCTATTTGTTGTTGTTGTTGTTGCTGCTGCTGCTGTTTGTTTTTGGAGACAGGATCTTGCTATGTAGTTTAGGTTGGCCTTGAACTCACTCTGTGGCCCAAGCTGGCCTTGAACTTGTGGCAATTCTCTTGCCTCAACCTCCCAAGTGCTGGGATTACAGGCACCCGCCACCACGCCAGGTTCCTCTTCAACTTTTAAGGGCTCATGTGATTATATCCAAGGTAATCTCCATATATTTAAGGTCCACTGTTAATTTTAATTACTTCTGCAAAGTTCATTTTGCCATATAAGGTAACATTCATGAGCATAACACCACCAAAGAAGATGAAAGGGCCAAAATTCTGCCTACAACTGAACCTTTACAATGGAAAGATCCAATGGAAATCACTTTTACCAAGTGATTAAATTTACCATGACAAATACATATGTACATATAGGAAATACACATCATCCATGACATATTTCTGCCAAAAAATTTAGAGTGTAGCCATGAGGAAATAACCAGACAAACCCAGACCATGAGACATTCTATAAGTCAAAAGACAACTAGCCAGAACACTGCAAAGGTCTTGAAAGGCAAATGACAAAGAAAGGGGGGAAGGAGTTATGAATTAGAGGAGATTAGAGATGCAACATGACATTATAAAGTGCTTATTCTTTGGAAGTTCTTTTTTATTGATCACTTATTTATTGATCATTTATTTATCACTATGTAGTAGAGACTGACCTGGAACTCGCTATGTAGCCCAGGCTGGTCTCGAACTCACAGTGATCCTCCTGCCTCAGCCTCCCAAGTGCTGGGATTACAGGCGTGCACCACCACGCCCGGCTCTTTGGAAGTTCTTAACAAGCAGCTATAAAGGACACTGTTGGGACAAAGTGTCAGTGTGGACTGTATGTTTGATGATTAAGGTTATGTAAGAGAATGTCCTTGTTCCTAGGTGATACAAGATGAGACAGTCATGTACGTGTAACCATGTTTCGGTCAACACCAAACTGTACACATCATGGTACATGAGCTAGCTGTGAAGCAGGCTATACATCTAAGTTTGCATAATTACCCTCTAAAATGTTCATACAACCACAAATCTTCCTCAAGGTGCATTTCTTAGGATATGCTCCTTCCTCACTGTATTTAGGAAGGAACCATCATAAGCTCTTGATGATGATGATGATGATGATGATGTGTGTGTGTGTGTGTGTGTGTGTGTAGAGGGACAGAGGAAAAAAGCAAATATAACAGATATTGACAATTGGTGAATCTAGGTGAACATCATATAGGTATTGATTATATTAACTAAAATTATCCATTTTTTATGAATGTTTAAAAATGATCACATTTGACAAATGATCTCATTTTTTCTACTTTGTAATCTCTTTTGTTTTTGTTTTTGAGGGACTTGCACATGCTAGGTTCACGCGAGCTACCAATGAACTACATCCCCAGCCCTTTTTAAATTTTTTCTTTAATTTTGAGACAAGGTCTCACTAAACTGCCCAGGCTAGGCTCAAGCTTACAATTCTCCTGCCTCCGTCTCTTGGGTAGCTGGGATTATAGGCATGTACCACCATACCCAGTTTGTAATCCATTTTGAATTTCCTTTGGTATGTAAAACACGATGTATATACACACATATAAACACACACACACACACACACACTATTTGAATTTTTGTTAAAGTACAAGTCAATTAGGTGGGTGTGATGGCACCTGCCTGTAATCCCTGCACTTGGGAGGCTGAGTCCCAAGGATAGCCCCAAGTTCAAGGCCAGCCTGGGCTACATAGTGAGATCCTACCTCAAAAAAACAAAACAAAACAAAAAATAGTCTAACATAATTCAGTACTCATTTTGACTGTTTGATGATACTTTATCATATTTTAAATTCTGAAATGTAACAGGCTAGGGATATATAACTTAGTGGTAGAACAGGTATTTCATGACAGAGACCCTAGGTTCTTTCCCCAGTATTATATACATTATATATACACAAAACATGTTCATGGGAAAGAAAGAGAATATACAATACAAAGTTAAAAACTAAAAATTTTCTTTCCATTCTGTGCGAAATTCCCACTATTAAGTTTCTCTTGCTTTCTACCAAATTCTGTGCCTATACATGTAATATAAAAACATGTATTTTTTTTTTTTTGGTACAGGGGATCGAACTCGGGTCCTTGAGCTTGTGAGGCAGGCCACCAAACCACTGAGCTAAATCCCCAGCGCAAACATGTATTCTTTCAAAAATGCAAATGTGATTATAGCATACATATTCTTTGGCTCTTTTCTTTTAAAAAAAATATTTTGGGGGAAGCCAGGCATGGTAGTACATACCTATAATCCCAGCACTCGGGAGGCAGAGGCAGGGGGAGTTCACCATGTTTTCGAGGCCAGCTTGGACTACATAGTGAGTTCAAGACCAGCCTGAACTACATAGTGCGACCCTGTCTCAAAAAACATATTTTTGGGAGGCTGAAGGTGTAGCTCAGTGGTAGAATCCCTGCCTAGTAACATTAGGTCCTGAGTCAGTCTCCAGTGCTGCAAAACAAACAAAATCAAATATATATGGTACTGGGGATTTTTCTTTGGTACTTGGGATCAAACCCAGGACCTTCATCCTGAGCTATATCTCTAGCCCTCTTTTACTTTTTATTTTGAGACAAGGTCTTGTTAAATTGCTAAATTGTCCAAGCTGGGCTCAGACTTGCAATCCTTCTGCCTCAGCCTCCCAGAGTACTGGTATTACAGATCTGAACCACAACATCTGGCTCACCTCACTCTTTAAATGGCTGCCTGGTGTTCCAAAGTATGAGTGGTCAATAATTTATTTAACCAGTCTCATGTTTATGCACATTCATGTGGTTTCCAGTTTCTCTTCCCGGCACAATATTTTTTGTTTTTAAATCCACACATTAAAACACTACATATTTATGGGATTCTGTATGATATTTTGATACATGAATACATTATGCAATGTTCAATCAGGGTAAACATATCTATCTTTTCAAATATCATTTCTTTGTGGTAAAAGCCTTCAAAAATCTTTCTTCTGGTTTCTTTGAAATGTACAGTAAATTCTCATTATCTATAGTCACCCTAATATGTAATAAGGCACCAGAATTTGGAGGGGGCGGTGTAGGAGATTGAACCAAGAGCTTCACCCACGCCAGGTAAATTGAGCTTGTGAGGCAGGCCACCAAACCACTGAGCTAAATCCCCAGCGCAAACATGTATTCTTTCAAAAATGCAAATGTGATTATAGCATACATATTCTTTGGCTCTTTTCTTTTAAAAAAAATATTTTGGGGGAAGCCAGGCATGGTAGTACATACCTATAATCCCAGCACTCGGGAGGCAGAGGCAGGGGGAGTTCACCATGTTTTCGAGGCCAGCTTGGACTACATAGTGAGTTCAAGACCAGCCTGAACTACATAGTGCGACCCTGTCTCAAAAAACATATTTTTGGGAGGCTGAAGGTGTAGCTCAGTGGTAGAATCCCTGCCTAGTAACATTAGGTCCTGAGTCAGTCTCCAGTGCTGCAAAACAAACAAAATCAAATATATATGGTACTGGGGATTTTTCTTTGGTACTTGGGATCAAACCCAGGACCTTCATCCTGAGCTATATCTCTAGCCCTCTTTTACTTTTTATTTTGAGACAAGGTCTTGTTAAATTGCTAAATTGTCCAAGCTGGGCTCAGACTTGCAATCCTTCTGCCTCAGCCTCCCAGAGTACTGGTATTACAGATCTGAACCACAACATCTGGCTCACCTCACTCTTTAAATGGCTGCCTGGTGTTCCAAAGTATGAGTGGTCAATAATTTATTTAACCAGTCTCATGTTTATGCACATTCATGTGGTTTCCAGTTTCTCTTCCCGGCACAATATTTTTTGTTTTTAAATCCACACATTAAAACACTACATATTTATGGGATTCTGTATGATATTTTGATACATGAATACATTATGCAATGTTCAATCAGGGTAAACATATCTATCTTTTCAAATATCATTTCTTTGTGGTAAAAGCCTTCAAAAATCTTTCTTCTGGTTTCTTTGAAATGTACAGTAAATTCTCATTATCTATAGTCACCCTAATATGTAATAAGGCACCAGAATTTGGAGGGGGCGGTGTAGGAGATTGAACCA